CACAAAATAACGTGATAAAACTTTAAGTCCAGATCGCCCATGCCTAGCAGTACATTCATTTTAATAGTAGCAGGGTTAACTTTACTTTTCAGTCTTAAATTGAACTGAATTTTGTTTTAGCATCTCATCATACGGTATCCCTACCTCAACAACAATCACACTGACCAGGAGTCTGCTCCTCCTATGTCTGTCGTCCCAGCAGCCCACTCAAGTAGGTGATTCGACTCCTGTCTAATACTCTCTCTCGGTCTCTTATCCTCCTAATACGAATCAGGATCAGCTCTTTAGAAACTCGTCAAGTACAGATGTAAAAGGGCTCGAGAGTATGAAATAGCAGTTACCAGAAAACGTACTTTTAGAAACTAGATTGCAATACAGGACATGAATGGGTAGGGGCATGAAAGACATACAATCGGAGAGAAAGCAGAGGACCACAGGAATGAGTGTCTGTGTAACAGGAAGAGTAGATAAAGGAAGACAAGAGGGGGAAGGAGAAAGGGATAGAAGACGCAGAAAATGAAAGAGCACTTTATTCCACAGAGCTGCAGTTCTTAGGGGATTTCTTTTCCTTTTTTTTCTTATATCCTGAGCTAGTTCCCTTATCGTGTTGACGACTTATCTCACATTTTCTCCTCCTCAAGGCAATAAACAGACACAAAGGAGCTGGAGGGGTAGGAAATGCACAACAACAAAAGAGCGACTCTTCGGCACTCCCTCTGTTTTCATTATCAGGTGCGGTGTGAGACTTTTGATGGAGCTCTGGATTATCCTGCGTGCGCCAGATGACCGATGCGAACGGCATCTGAAGCATGAAGGACACCGATCATGTCAGCCAAGGCAAAGGCACATTACAACTGTGAGCAGACCTCAAGGACTCCAGCAGATTAAAACTGATTGAAATTCCATTTGTGGCATTTGACGCGGGTTTATTTATTTATTTTTCCGTCCCCCGTCAGGTCCCTCTCTCCTCCCCGCAGTTTAAATGCCCACCACTGTGAGCCGAGCCTGCCCTCCGAATAAACAAATGAGATTGCATTTGTGGAGGCAGGCGTCTCCACGTTGCATAGCAATAATATCAAGCTGTGGGATTTTGTAATATCAACCAAAACAAATGAGTGTGTGTGTGTGTGTGTGTGTCTGTGTGTATCAACTCTAACGTATTAAAAAGGCACACACAAGTCCACACACTCTCAAAATAAAAGGCCAAATTCCGACATACGTTTTATGGAGATACAACTACAGAGCAGCGTGTTGGGCTAGAATGTATTGAATTTCCACAATAAGCAGATGGTAGTATGCTTTCAATGTGCAGCAATGCCAGAGTTTTAATAGTGACTTCAAACATATTATGACCTAAGCCGTTTGAATTGAACCTTAACTGTCAAAAACAAAACAAAAAACATAGGATTCAGTAGATTTGTTTCCATTTTTGCAATCACAGTATTTCCACAAAATAAGAAACTCAACTAAGATCACATGTGAACAAGCTTGTTCATGTGATATATCTTTAAAAAACACACCACGCCATCATCCTCTAGCTACTTCCTGTCATCTTCTTAGTGGCCTTTCTAAAATGTCAAATTGAGCAATGATCTAGTCAATGGAAATGCAACCAGTAAAAAAGCGTAACAGGAAATGCTGTTGGTGTGTGGACAACCAAGTGTACCCCACATTTCAATAAGTTATACATCCATCTTAGCCGAAAGAATCCAAAGTAGTTCCAAGGACTTTATCAGTCCTTGGTATCTTTGAGGTTTGCACTTTGCCTTGGCCATTGCAACATCTTTTTTTGCCATGTTGTGCATTTGTTGTTGTGCTTGGGGATCATTGTTCTGTTGATTCATTTGCCAAGCCTTAGCTATCAGACAGATGATTTCACCTTTGACTTTAAAAACATCCTGTTTTTAAACAAACGTGAAAAATGCCATTTGTTGGCAGTTAACCTGAGAAGCAAAAAGACCTTTACCTTTTAAGACTATTTCCAGTCTTTCAAAGAGTGGATAACCTGAAACGATGAAACTCTGCAGCTAAGTCGATAAATGTTTACCTCTAAAAAATAATGTTGAGAATTCAACAGTTTAGAAATATGCTTTTATGGTTTCACAGTTGAACTGTCACCAAAGATTGCTTCTAGAATGTCACTGCCGATGTCTTTACACGTTGATATTGTGTTAGCATATATTATATGCTCCAAACTGGCCAAACTCCTGACTGAATAATACTCGTTAATTATGAGGCGCCCACATTAGCATCACCTGCTTGCTCATTTTCTGCTTCAATGGTTCTAGTTACAGTTTTGTGTGTTTAGCAGGGTCATGGATAGAATGATTAAAAGACCTATAATCTGGTTTGTGAAGAGATTTATTATTATTCTTTTTTTCCCAGGCTAATTTTATTCTGCACATCTCAGTTTTGGTTTTTCAGTGACAGAGTGAAAACTCTGTACAGAAAAAGCCATTTTTGCTTTTTCTGTATTTTTTTTTACTATTAATATTTTTAATGTTTCATAATAAAAGAAGCTAAACATTCAATTCGACCAGAACCTAGAGAGAGAGAGAGAAAATACACAATTTAAATTTACAATTACTGCTCTCTGAGAGAAATTGGAATTGGCTAAAATTGGATTCAGCATCTCTAATACACAGAGTAAACATGTTGCAATATGCAGCATAAAACATAAAAATGCTGAAAGCAATTTTAGTCAGATAACTACAATATTAACAATGCCATTATTTGTTAGATAGTTTCCTGTACAAAGCAATTATTTCTGACATACAATTTGCAATGAAAGTCCAAACATAAAATTGTAACAGTAGTACACCGGCTGGGAGGAAGTGATGGGTATTTAGAAAGAAAAGCTTTTGGTGTCAAAATCAGTATGAATTACTTTGACGTATTTTATTTAACTCGATCTATCTGAATGTGATTAGTTTGCCGGGACCCAGTCATGTCTGTCACCTTGCACTGAACAAATTAAGGTTGTTTTTACATCTTTGGCCAAGTGTATGAATCTATTGCTGTAAGTAAATGTCCTGTATTGATGCAGAGTTATCAAATACATTTGTAATTCAGTACATTTATGTCTGTGTTTAAAAAGAAACGTTTTAAGTCAATGCTTTTCTGTAATACAGTATAGAAAGGTACTGTAATACATTACTTTTATCATCAGCCATATTAGTATCGACCGATAATAAATCTCAGGCATCTGTATCGGTATCCAAATTGAAAAAAAAAAAAAAAAAAAAGAATAGTAAAGCAGTTTACTATTCCCTAAACTGCATGTATATTTTATGCTGTTAAAACAGAAAGAAGTCATCTTTTTGTCGGTCTTCCATACAAATTCCACCCACTTATGCAAGCAGTACAGTGATGTGAGGCCAATTCCTCATGTAATAGGCGGGTAAGATCACTCAAACAGAGCACCAAGGACAAAAAACCACTTCCAATTGGGTGTACAACTGAGAAGTCACAGTTGAATAACAGCCAAAACAAGACATCTAAAGCTACAGCTCACTGCTGGTCCATCTCGGTAATAGAGGCATTTACTCTACCCTCACCTGAGCACACGACATCCCCTCCCACCCTGGGTAGAGGCCACATCACGAGAGAGTGACAGCCTATTTAAAAGGCAGTTGAAGTTGAGATTGTATAGGGTGTTGGAAAGTATTTGCTCCCTTACAGATTTTTTCTGATTTAGCTTTTGGGTAGAGTAGCCAAAAATTGTACACAAGTAAAAATAGCACAACTTGACCATATTTTTACTTCAGTAAAAGCAAGAAGTAGCTGTCCGAGAAATTATTAATGTAAGAGAGCAGAATAACTTCAACATATTTTTACTCAAGGAAAAAAGTAAAAGTCACGCAAGAAATTACTCAAGTAAAAGTAAAAAAGTATTTGGTAAAAAGGCAACTCAAGTACTGAGTAATATTTGAAAACTACATCATCAAATGGAACAAAATACAAAGTTATGTAGACATTTTGGTAAAGGCCAAAATGAAAATAGTGTATGTAAGTAATTACAAAATAACTAAAATCAGGTGAAAGAAACATATTTCCAAATCAATTTCTTTCAATGTAAAACGTATAAATCCAACGGTTAGATCAATCTTGTTCTTCATTCACTGAAGTTATTCGCAGTAGGTGAAGTATCCAGAATTTTACTCAGGAATAGAAATACTCCATAATAAAATTTCCAAAGTAAAAGTAAAAAGTACAGCGTAAAAAAAATACTCCTAAAAGTACTTTTTTTTCAAAAAAGGAAACTAATTTTAATCACTTGATTTAAAGGCAATCTAAAACTGAAATGTTTACATATTGCAGCTGTACACATCAAGGACGCCCACCAAAGGAACCTTAAAATAGGGTCTTGCTTCAGAAGGAGGTAAATATGCCGTTTTTCAAATCAGTACCCATCCCAGCTAGCCGATTGGATAGCTCATAAGAATGACAACAAGAATGAAGAAAATTATTTCCATCTGTGCTGAAACATATTATTACAGTAATGGTGTCACTATTCAAGGAAAAAATAAGCCCATCTGTTAGTGTGGGATTTTGAAACTCCCCTGAAGCGGCTTTAGCAAGTGACTCAGCCGTAAATAGATTTGGTGCAGGTCTTAGTAACATAAAGGCAGGCCTAGTGATCCACTTTGCTCCTACATTGTTGCAGGTTTATCCAGCTAAACCCTAAACTAAATAAGTGGGGAAAAAAAAGGTCAAACCTTACAGCAGCTGTGTGAAAAACTGTTTACACAGTTGAACACTTGGATACGGCTTTGATTTTACATGTAATCTCAACGTGCTTCAAAGCCAACACATCTCTCCACTCCAGTCAAACATGCCTCGGGAGTAGCATGCTCATGTTTGAGTAATTTTCACTCAAGTGAAACTACATGCTGGATGGAACTACTCAAACACTAAGTGGGCCTTAAAAACAAAGCAAGCAAAGCCAGGATCTCGCCCCCGCCCTTCTCCCCTGCACCCACCCAACCCCTGACTCCTACCGTCCACACAGGCAGGTCTGGCTCTTGTAGTTCCGGCGATCTGGCCCTTCTTACAGGCGCAGCGGGCCGTCTGCCTGGCGATGGTCCGTCGTGGTTGGCTGCTGTCCTTGTTCAACGTCACAATCTCGCATGTCCCCGCTGCCAGCTGGCCTGGAAATGACATTGCACCACAGCATGGGAGGTCAGGGAGATGCAATCATAAACAGGACAGAATAAACTAGCCTGTTTACTCTGTAAAAGCCTCCATTTTGATTCATGTGAATCCAGGAAGGCCTGGTATTTTCCTCCAACTTTACTACAGCTCAGGGAGAAAAGGCGGTAACTTCATAATCTTAAACAATTATAGAGGAGGTTAGAATTTTCCACACCTTTCTTAAATTAACAGTATTATCTAAATAGTATATTTTTTAACTTAAAATCAAACAAATCTGTAAGTGTCCAAAAAAAAGTTTATTAACCTCGTAGCCTCAGAGTGCAGAATAGGAATGCAAGTTATCATTAATGATTTAATCTAAAGTTGATAGTTCTTATTCTGTGACTACAGATTAATTGATAAGCGGCAACTTTCTTTTAAACGTTTTCTTTAGTATCAAGAGGACCAAATGTCTTCCCATTACATAAAGGGCTGCATTAAGAATATACTAAATTTAAAAAAATAATATTTCAACTTTTTTGTCAAGCTGCCTTAAATACTGACTGAATAAACATAAATTGGTGCTTTTCTCGCATTTTAAAACTTAAACAAACCCTCAAAATCAACCGTGCTTATTAACAATTTATCAGCGTTTCCCCCTCTTTTTTCCGTCATCACATTCTCGCCTTTGTAGCATTTCGGCAATTTTTGGAATGAGAAGTTGACACTGCTCGTCACGTAGCACGGCTGAATGAGCGCTATTAAGGTGAAACTTAAAGAGCTTCATGTCGAGTGTTTATATTTAAAAACAGAACCGCATACAAAGCTTCTTGCATCCCACACCGGACTCTTGTTTACCTCGTTTGTCTTTCCTGTTCTGGGACCCGCCGCCGCCATCTTTAATTCTGCATTAATCGGTTCCGCTTAAGCTAACAACTGATTCCGTCAGCGGCGCCCTCTGCAGGATGGCGGCCAAACTACAACATTAGAAGAAGGTCGAAGAGGACGTTATCTGTTAAACTAATTTTAATTTAATAAACCATTAATCGACTATTAGTCGTAAATCAATCAATTGTTTGCATCCTTAGTGCAGACTCAATAATTAATAATTAGATTGAGCCTCTTTTGATTACATTTTAGCATCAGCCATTAATTATAATAAATATGATGACCTTGACATAAAGTACAGCCAAGTTGGATTTTCTTGACTTCTGCATCAATTAGATAAAGAAACAGGGAGATTACAAATAATCAAAAGGATATCATTATAATAAGGATATCACTGTTCAACAGTGTTCTCCAGTCGTATGCATTGAGATTAAAAGACAAAGAACAAGTTCAAACAACAATTCCATACCTAACTAAAATCTCCAAAACTTTGTAGAATGATGTTCAGAAACCCACAGAAACTTTGAGACATAATTCCTAAAGACAAGTCTGGCACAAATTCAGCACTGCACATAGCTGATTTTCTTCAAGTGAAGTGGGACAATTTGTCAAAGTGGGTGAAAACGTAAACAGTCAGCATGGATCCAAAATATTTAACTGTTTGCCAGTCAGCTAAAGTTTGAGGGAATTTCTTTTTCAGCATCAAAGTGAGCGTGCGCATAAAATAAAATAAAAAAAAAATAAAATAGTTTAGCCACTGTGCTGAACTAAATTTGATAAAAAACATTGTGGGGTTACCTGTATCTATTCATCATGGAAATACCTCACTTTTTCTGGGGGGAGTAGAGTTAAATAATAATGTTCTTGAAAATAAGAGATTCTGTTAAATGAATGTGAATGTTGCCCCTCCCCACCCCCAAAAGTAGGAGAATTATTAATTTTAAAAAGCTCACAACTAGTTCAGGGAACCACATCATGTATGGGTGTATTTTACAAATTAGAAGTGTAGACTTTTTTTTCCCCCAGATACAATGTTTTCTGTTGAGCTTAAAGTATGAAATCACAGCACAACAAGCAGGTTAAAGATTTAAAGAGACCAGATAAAATCTGTTATTTTAACAGACTTGAACTGCTTGACTAAGCTGCTTGGAAGCCAACAGAGAAACTCACAAAAGTTGCTTCGCACTTGAAAACACACCTAAGGGCAGTAATAGAAAAAAATGCTTTCCATTTCCAGGGACCCAAACACGGCCTGTAAGCTGTTTGCCATAAAAGGCTGCCTCCAATCAGCACACCTATTTCCAGGTAATGTACCCATTACCCATGAAAGGAAACGCATGAATACTGATGAAGTTTGTAATTGCTGCCAAGACCCACCATCTTGCCCACGCGCATATTTCCATGTATTCAATCAGGCGACCTTTGACCTCGCAGCCGGGCCCTTACTGCTCACAAATTAACCTTTGTCTGTGTGTGGAGGCCCCAGGGTGCAATTCCACAGAGGCTTATCAGGACCTAATTGTGATTGGCAAGAGGATGGAAACTGTGATTAAATCTGGACTTTAGTTCCCGACACTTTGGTGGCTAGCTTAATGAACTGAGCTGTGCGGGGTCACCCCCAGGGTAATGGGGATCTATCAGGATTCATCCACACAGGTAGCTGTGGCGATCACGGTCACAGGATAAGAACTGAGCAGTAGAAATGTAGCCTGTTATTTGGAATTGTGATTTTTTTATATATATATTTACTTGCATTTCACCAGCAGAGACAAAACTTGTGTTTTAGCGTTTAAAACGTCGTCAAAGTCCTCGGTCTGCGTCTCAAACTCAGACGAGTGCTCGACCGTTTGGTCCTTCAGCATTTCATTCCCGTTGTGGTTTTTGGTACCTGGAGTTTCATAAGGCAGCTGTCTGCCTTACAATATTTCATATTGATCAAGTGTCAATTTGTATCCAGCTTGAAAATATTTTTGGAACCGCTTTGCAAACGCTCTCTCCAAACTAAAATAAGAACCGCAATCAATGGAAATATGATGTAATAGAAAACCTCCCCGAAAAAATAATGTAAAATTAAAGTTACTAAATAATTAAGTATTTTTTTGAGACTAACAAATGCACACTGGCCTCACTCCGCCTCAAAACAAACAAAACTGTGTGATGAAAAAAAACAAGTTTTACTCAAGAGAAAGATGGAAAATTACGGGTTTTTTTTTTTTTTTTTTTTTTTTTTTTTTACATCTATTCAGGTTGATGAGCTGATAAGTTGATAAGCTGGTGTTAGTGAACAATTATGCAAAATGCAATTTAGCAAATCAGAATTAAAAACATGTAGATTAGTAGCACAAACATGAAAAATACCAGTAGACATACTCCAACAAAACTCAGATTAGCTACTTTTTATGATGTCAGAGGAATGTAAAACCTTGGGAAGGTCTATCACTGCAGATTATGTGATTACATTTTTGACTGAGCTTTTATTTTCTCCATTAAAGGTTTTGCGATTAAAGAACAAACTTGAAAAGTGGCTAAATGTACTTTTAATAAAAACCCTCGTTTCAATTTATTATTTTTATGAACATTTTCGAAGACAATGAAAAGAATCACGCTAATATTTTTTTTTTTTTTTTTTTGGGACATGGGGGCCTTTTTTGCTAATTTCAGACTCAATTTTACACCATAAAATCTTAAGTGGCTCAAAACATAAAGCAGCTTGATGAATTATTCAAACTTTAAAACACATACCCAACATTGGCAAAACATAATACAGCTTGAGAAAAAGAGCTAATTCTGCTGCAAAATACAATCCAGCTACCAGCATTCTCAACATTTCTCTATATGTGTTTGTAGCTGCAAATGAAATATATTTTCCTGTTCTGTCTTTAATACCGAATAAGTTGCCGAATAAGCTATATTAGCGTCTAAATCTCTGTGCAAATGGCCCAAACGGCCTGCTTTCTGTCTCTGGATCCCATCCACTGCGACAAAGTCGACAGACTGTTTGAATGTCTTATGTAATCTCACAGATCGTGTGGCGCTGACGCACCATGTGTGAAGTCAACAGGCTCAAAGACTTTGGCTGATTAGAGACCGCAATTCTCGGTTGTTCTGCTATCTCGAGTTGTTGGAGCTCATTAATAGACTCCATTTTATCAAACACTGGCCTTGTTTTCTGCTGCCACAGACGTAACTACCCGACGACGGCATTCGCTTCTTTTTCATGTTGCTGGATAACTGGGCATTCTTTTATACGGAGATGATAATTAAGCTAATTTTAAACTCACTAAAAAGCGAAGGAGAAAAAAAGTCGGTCTGAGCTGTCGCCTTACTGCTTGGACATCTTTTTTTGGAGAGGGGGGGGATGAACAGCAATTACATTTCAAATGATTAATAAAGAATAAATCTAAATTTAAGCCAGTCGACGGTTGTTGTTGTTTTATTACTTTGGAATGTTGAAGTAGTTTTAATTGCAAACGACAAATTTTGTACAAGGGTGAAACAAAACTGTATATATTCTATGGATTGTACACCAGTGGAGTCCAATTTTTTTATTCAATTTCCACTGTTAAGATCAAAATTAAGTTGAGAGAGCTTGAGGGCCACATTTCTTTAAAATTAAAACTGAAAAGACATTTGTTGTTTTTATCTAAAATTAAAAAAAAAAAAAAAAAAAACTAGCTAAATTTTGTAGAAAAGGAATCTGAGAATTGTAAACTTGTTCTTGCTCAGTTACTACCTTAAATGACAGGTAATGAAAAAGTAAATTTTGGAAAAATATTTAAGTGTAATCAACGAAAACAGACACATTGTTAATGAGAGAAAAATGATTTGTATTGTGCAAAAATAAATGCTTGAGAAGATTTGATTTAATCACAGATTCACTCCATTCTTGAATCATGGACTAATGGGACCAAACAAAGTCATCCACACTCTGGACATGAGTCATAAGGAAATGTTTATCTTCTCAAATATTCTAGATGTTACAGAAGAGTCTGACTCGGTTGCGTTTGTTCTGATTTATTCTTCTTGTAGACTTTTTTTGTTGTGATTCTCTCCGGTTTTGGATGTGTAGCTGGGAGGAGTTTTGCTCTGTTTTGACTTTTTGTCAGCTGTTGTGATGCGTAACCTTGGC